CGAGCCACCGTCTGCCGGACACCCCCGCTTTTCGAAGCTGCAGAGCCGTTCGGGTGCGGAGGCAAGCAATGGCATTACATGACTTAGCCAGGGGCAGGGGCAGAGCTCCCCTGCCAGGTACATACGTAGAAGATGTGCAGAGCCGCAGGGGCGAGAGGGGCTCGCTGGGAAGCGGGCGGGGGGTGCGGTAACGTGGCCTTTCCCAGCTCCGAGCAGTCATTTGCACATAACCCCGGGGACCGTACTACAGCGGAAGTCCCGAATGGGCCGTGACCTGCCTCTGCACATTCCTCACACCACACAGTGTAGAAACCTTTACTGGAGAAAACACGCAGCATCCAGAAACAAGCAGCAGCTTGAGCTCATTACATCAAGGACACAACACCGTGGCCCAAGGACTATCTACAGCACAGAGAGAGAGAAAGAGGCGCAGCATGCCACAGCAGACATTTACCTTTACTTACCAAATCCAGACCAAACCGAACCCACGAATGTACACAGAACTAGAAAACACAGCCCAGAGGGTCCTCAAAACAAGCCCAGCAGCGCTCTTACCGGAGACCGGAGTAGATCTGAGGCCCTCCAAGACCTTAGGATTGCTCTCAGCACGGTTTGGTTTGGGAGGGCAGTTCCTTTGCTTTACGCTGTTTCTCCTGCAGTCCTCAACTGCCACCATATCAGCGCCAAGCGGAGAAAAAAAAAAAAACAAACCAAACAAACACCAGACCAAAAAAAAAACCAAAACCAAACACCAAACCAAACCAAGCAACACAAAGCAACCCAACCCCAAGGGCACACAGGTCCCTAGGAGGCCGTAGCTGGGGCTGTGCGGGTCTGGCGCAGGCCGGCGCTCGAGCCGAGACACATTTCCATTACAGAGGAGACACGCACACGGGAAAGAGCTACACAGAGCCAGAAGCACCATTTTGTTACAGCACAACACAAATTGCAGGAGGTGAAACACGGAGGAACACTCTCATTTATCACACCTTTATGTCCTCTCTCTCGGTATCTTCTGAGGACAAAACATCTGTGAGACCTTTTTTTTTAAAAAGAGATTTTACTTTTTTTTTTTCTAAAGAAAAATTGTAGCGGTTTTGTGCCTTTGACCTGTGTTTATGACTCTGAAACCATGTGATGCAGGGTCGCAGTGTATGTTTGATGGGACGCCATCTTTCAGAACTGTGCTAACTCACTCTTGAAGCGTCCAATGGTAAGAGAAATACAGAATTTTTATATGACAATGGACATTGTACTTTGTACTCCCGCTGTAAGTAGCCCTTTTCAATCTTTGTAATCGACTCGGAATAAACCTGTACGAAACCCGGTCGTGTAAAGGGAAGAGAAGAGCAACTGTACGGTGACATGAGCGTGTTTATGCCTTGTACGTGATGGCTCGTTTTAACCTGTTACTGCTGTTGCTTTGCTGCCTGTACCAGTCTCGCTCCCTCTCCCGTTTTGTCGGGGCGGGGAGATGTCTTGCCACTTTTTATTATTTAATTTATATTTTTATTTTTCCTTTCTGTACATTAATTTTTAATTAATTTTTTTTTTCTTTAAATGGCTGTGTAGAAACTAGCAGCAATCCCGGAGGCCGGGGGGCACGGAGGGGGGCGCTCCCCTCGCCGCACCTCCCTCCCAGTCAGCTTTGGGGGGGCCG